CACACACACAAGCTCTGGAGCATGGGCCTGTATAACAAAGCTGGATTTCTCACTTAGCTGGGTAACTTGTCAGATTTAAGGTACCATAGTTTGGACTTTGTTTGTCCGCTTACATTTAATACAGACTACTTAAATCCCTGAAGTTATCCAACTAAGCAAGAAATTCTGCATCGTTATATAGGCTTCTGCTTGGAGCAGGAAAGGCTTGCAGGCTAAATTACTATAGGTGCTTTCAAACTGAAGTTCCGGAACCTGGTCCCGGTTTAGAAATCCTTGGGCTCGACCTGGGACTTTTATAATTCCTGGTCACGTTCTTGTGTTGCTTTCACACCGCAAAACAAGAACTATGACCTTTATGCTAAATAAGCATGGGAGCCACAAAAAGTTCATTGGTTACACTTCATACATAATTTCATACAAAACTGCACTGCCACTCCTAATTAATGGAGGATAAATAAGTCGCTTTGTTAGTTACTGGGGGGATTGATCACGATCAAAATGGGACATTGCCTTTTATTTATATTGTAAAGGTGGGTCTATCATCCATGTTCCTGTGCCCTTGCAGTGATTTCCACTGTAGAATCGTGTCTGTTTTTAATGCAGTGCCGCCTGAGTACCCAAAGATCACGGCTATCCAATATTGGTTTTCAGCCTTGTCTCTTGTGTACAGAGATTTCTCCAGATTCTTTGATTCTTTTAATGATACTATGTACCGTAGATGATGAAATTCCAAATTCTTTGTAATATTACACTGAGGAACATTATTCTTAAATTGCTGCACTATTTGCCCACACAGTCTTTTACAGAGTGGTGAACCTCTCCCCATCTTCACTGCACAGAGTGGTGAACCTCTCCCCATCTTCACTGCACAGAGTGGTGAACCTCTCCCCATCTTCACTGCACAGAGACTCTGCCTCTCTGGGAGACTCTTTTTATACCCAGTCATCTTACTGACCTGTTGACAATTAACCCAATTAGTTGTGAGATATACAACCAGGTGTTTTGATTTAGCACTGCACGACTTTTACAGTCTTTTGTTGCCCCGTCCCAACTTTTTTGAAACATGTTGTTGGCATCAAAATCAAATTGAGCATATATTTGTCATAAAACAACAAAATTTCTCAGCTTCATCCTTTGATATACTATCTTTGTTCTATATTCAATTAAATATGGGTATATATTACACAGGACTTAAAAAAAAAAATAAAAAATTCAGGTGCCAAGGTTTTTTGAATGGATTTAGGGTGCTGAATTAAAAAATCACATTACTTTGGCTGAATTGGTTCTAGTTTTTGAGATAATGGACATCCATTTGGTCTGTCTTTTGACTCTTTAACAGTGTCT